GATGCAGCAGTGTAGCTACATCGAAAGGGCGGGGGGTCCGAAACAAAATCTCTAGTACGGAAAGGGGGAGCACTACTATTGCACCACATTACCACACCTATACGAGCGTTTTAAGATATACATAAACGTATAAATAAGCGAGTAGCTGCCCCTTCCCCTCTGCCGCTATCCCCTACCTCAACTTTTCCTTCAAAAACTAGCTAGCCAATCAGCGCACTGGGGCCGTTAATCGGCAAGAGTGCTTAATTGGCTACCTAAATGATCCTTTTATGAATATGACCTTATGAGTGTCGGCAGGTTTGCGCGGGAAGCTACGGTGGCTCAGAAGTTGACACCTGCACTTCACGAAGAAACAGGGAAAATGCATGTAGGCTGCTGTACACTGTCAAAGTAGTGCAGAATGTGATGCATAAATAATTTAACTGATGTTATGAAGTAACTGAAGCGTGCGCGCGAAGAGGATCGGAAGATTTCCACAGTGCTGAACCAAATTGGTTTACTTACCCAATCTTCGGCTGACTGAGAGCTGCTGATGTGTGCTTTGCAGACACAAAAACAGCTCTAATTTTGCAACAGCATCCCTCATTAGAAAAACTTCCTTAAAATTGGATTGCGCTGAAAAGTGCTTTGGCAATCCAAAAGCTTTTTTCAGACTACGTTTCCTAAGAAAGAGCTGAGGCAGGATAGAATTTAGAAACTTGGGACCATAGATGGTAGAACGGGTCCTCCTTAAACAGCTTCCTTCACATGAACTGTGCAAGATAGCTGACCAACGGAGTCCGTAAGGTCCTATACCGTTTCTTATGTCCCTCCTTGAATTTTTGCCAAAGCGACTCAGTGATGTTTGTGCAGGCACCACTGGGGGGATTAATGAAGTACAGCTTATGAGTTACCGTAAGATGCTGGTACCCTTCAGGCAGGTCTTTGATGCCGTTATAAGCTGCACACTTATCTGACGTAATAGTAGTACCCGGGAGGATATACTGGCAGTCAATCGGCACAAGGGTAGCAGCATCCCTATGCTCACCTGCAACAATGAAGCACTTATTGCTTCCCTTCTTGATCCTTCCAAAACACCGTTGATGTGGAACAAGCTTTCCTTTATAATTTTTTCTACGAGCGAAAACCGTTTCATCAATCCCGACGACTTTACCCGGTCCGCCTAACTGAACAGGATGCGCGTTAAAGTAAGAGACGCATACATCTTACAAGACTTTAAAATAAGAAACGAGAGTGGCGGAGCTTATTGTACTGCCAGTTCCCCGGCGCATGTCTGGTGCAGTTTGGTCGTACACTGGCATGCGAACTCGTGTCCAACGGTAAGATAAATAAAAAACCTCTTTTGGCTTCAAAATCCTTCTTTCAAAAAACGTCTCACGTGAAACCCCACCTTTCTCCTGCACACTCCCTTTTTGCATCAAAGATACCTTCTCCGCACACTACCATCTTTATTCTTATCGGCAGTTGGGGTCATACCGCAAACTCGCTGAACGAAAAGAACCCCAAGCATTTGAAGAAAAGCCTCAAACTCTTCATCAGAAAGCGTAAGCTTCTGAGAAAGATCCCGATGACCGGAACTACGTAAGCAATCCATTGAAGTTTAAGAAAACGCACATTGAATAGCACTTAATCGATGGAAGACAGTAAATGACATTCAAGAATAGCAGAAGGTAACTTTCAGCGTTAGGGACTTGCAAACACAAGTGGAAATTCTGAAGTTTCACCATCGAAAAACCTGGATATTTGGTGGAAATGGAACCAACATTGACTGCGCGACATGCTAGCTCATAATCACCTACGCTAAATGAAAGCTCGAGGTTGAAGCATCTTAAGGCATATTTGAAATTTTTTGCGTTTAGGTAAAGGATAGAAAGAGGAAGAAAGCTTCTTAAGCTTTGTTTGCTCTACTTGTCTTTCCTTCCTCTTTACCTGTGTTCGGAAGAAGAACATTTGCTGTTTTTTCAGCTTTTTCTCTCTCTTCACCAGAACGCATTCACCAATCGTTTTACAACGGAAGAGACCATCTAACCTCCATTCAGTTGGGTTAAGCAATCAATTTCATTTTCTTCCAAATCCAGAAGAAAACTCGCAAAACATCATGGCTTTCTGTGTTCCCTATATAATTGTATGCAGCCAACTTCAAATGGGTTGCGTTGGCTGTGCATTAGAGAATTGAGAGGGTATCTCTCACCGTTATCATGGAGTTATACACACTGTGTATAGCATTCACATACTGTACGGAGAAAGCGGGCTTCTCGTTGTAAAAATTCTTCATAATTTTGCAAATTGATGATCATTTTCAAATGTCTTAAGCACGACAATGTAATGATTCAGGTATTTCAGTGCTGTTTGGTTGAATCCTAGCAAAAAAAATGCAAATTGAAAAAATTACTGACATTGCTATCTTCAGTATAGAAATAAAAAGAATTCCTAAATTGTTATACTTTACAAAGCTGATTTTAACGTTGCTGTAAAAACCCACTTCTTCCTCACGGCGCTTGGAAAAGACCCGCGCGGTGGTGTTGATTGTACTGAGAAAGTTTCTGCTAGGACTGTTTTTCAAAAGCCCTCTTCTGACGAAATCTTATAATCTCTGAAGAGAATTTGCGCAACATCGAAATAGTTTTACCATCTTCAGCAGATTGCGAGAAGAAGACGAGGCTTTTTGGGATATTAAGCTTTAAATACTACGTATTATTATTCTCTTTAAAGTAGGAAACATCTTTATGAAACCATACGCTTCCTGATCCATTACAGACTAGCCAAAATTTAAAGAACAGAGAATGTTGCATATAGTTGACACATCACAAGTGAGTACAACAATAATTGGCGATTATTTTTATATAAAATATATCTTTTTAAAAAAATCTACAACGGTTAGAAAGTTCCAGATTCTTTTCGATCTTCAGAAGCAGCTTAAAAACATTTTTGCCAAGGTAAAACACTAATTTACTGTAACAGCAGAAAACCATTTTCAGTTTAATGCTTCTTTCTCGCTTATAATACCCAACATCTTAAGAGACAAAAAAATCTTTCTTCGATGAAAAACTTGATTTTTAAAAAAGGCAACAAAAGTTATGGTCAAGGAAATTAGCCTTAATGTCGCATTCCAGCATATATCTCAACCACGGCTCCAAGAATTAACATAGGATAGAGAAAAGGAGGTAGATATAATTCTGGGGGAAATCAACTATGTCAAAAGACCCGCATCTTTTCAGGAATAAGCCGGGTAAACACCGCTCAATTTAACGTAGATTAGCAGTTTTATAAGTTCTAACCAACTGCGTTACTGTGATTTTAGTTCTGCTTGAAAAAATTTTCACAACAAGTTAGAAATGAGTTTGTCTATAATTGATCTTTTATGCAAAATTCGTTTGGTTTAAATCGGTCTCTTCTCTTCTCTCCCACCAAAACAGAAGTATGAAATTTTGGGATGAGTGAAAAAGTGCATTCTTGGAAGGTTTCAAATTCTTACTCTGTGGTTTTTGATTTTAGTTTTTCTTTTTTTTTTTTTTTTGTTTTATTATCAAGTTTTATAATACTGTCTTATTTATTATTTCTTGAGAATTTTGTTGCTTGTTGATATTAATTTTTCTATTCGTTATGATTACTGATCTCCGTATCCTTATAAGAGGCTAAGTTTGAAGTTTTTTATATACAGCTTGAGTAACTGAAACTGAGTAAAAGTCTCTTGAACTTATCATGAAGACACACACATCATAAAATGCCTGGAATCGATAGAAAAGGTCCCAAGTGGATAGATTTACCATAAAAGTCTGAAATTGACATTAAAGATTTTAGTTTCTTGAATATGAGTAGACTAGTTCTATTTCAAGGCCTGAAATCGATTCAAGAGACGTTAGGTCAGCAACGACTGAAGATTAGAATTCAGAATAAGTGGTTCTTATATCCAAATACGTTAGGTAGCGATTGAGGGTATCATTACTGTAAACCACTATCAAGTGGTCTGCAGTAAACGGGATAAACGCAGTTTGGTAAATCTATTAAGGAAATTCATTTCTAAATAAAGTATTGGAGGACGAAAAAACAGTCACACATTTCTTGGATTGGTCTTCTGCCTGTAGCGCTTATTATTGCCTTTGGTTTTTTTTGCGCTTTTCTGCGAGGCAGCTATTAATTCTATAGCAACCCTTGGCAAAACCGGCTGCTTGTTTCTTGTTCGTATTGGATGCTCATTTATTCTGTTCTTTTATCAGTTACTTACTGAGTGTTGCATTTTATGTATTGTGCCTTCGTATCTAGTAAAGATATTGGTGGAGAAAGATGTAAAAGTGGCGACCAGTTTTTTAAGTCAGGGATTCTCCTTTAATTATTGTGGCAGCTTTTCAAATTCTTGCTCACGCACTAGAGCCGTTTGATCCGGCTTCCAAAGATATCAATTCTTGGTTCTTAAAATAAAAAATCTTGACGGAGGGTGAAAACAGTGTAATCAGTTTTTTATTTGAAACTAAAACACTAATCTTTAATTGAGTTTGCAAATTCTATAAAGGAAAAGGCTGTATTTTGCTCATTGGGTGTCTTTTGTGAGCCTACTTTGGCTCTAGTGCTCGCAATTAGAATCAATGAGGTTTAGCTCTGTGCAAAGTCTCTGGAGATAGAATACTGTACGTTTGGTCAGGTCCTGTTTATTTTCCAGGAGAAAACTTAAAACACTGCTGAGGTTAAGCAAACCGGTATGGATTCAAGACAACCTCTGATCACTTCTGCAGCAACTGGCCAGTTTTTGTCACCACATTCTGTAAATTTCATTGGTGCTCCTGATTTAAATCCGTATCTGAGTTTGGCAAGGGACACAAACGCCAAGACTGTAAAACTTGAAACAATGGCTACTGAAAACAAGCCTCCGTTTTTTTCAAATTCAAATCTGGAAATGCATCTTCTAACGCCCAAATTGTTGTGCCTGCATTTGAAATTTTAATATGGAAAATTCCTGGCTACTTCGTATAAGGAAGAATCAAGATTAGAAGAGAAGTCCCTTTCTGGGCAGAGTCCGCGTACAGGCGAGACCATGGCTTTATCGTTTCTGGCCAAGAATAAATGGAATCGTGCAGAGGCATTATACTTTCATCTTTGGGCTTCCAAGTGTTTCGAGTAAACACCAATAATTTGCTTCTTAATGTCGTCAGAATGATGACGCGTGAAGTGCAAAATAGGAGATCACTTGAGATTGACGAATCTATGCGTTTCTGGAAAGTAAAGACGAAGGTAGGAGTTAAGAATATATGTACGGCAGCGTGAGTGAACGAGCTTGAGGATTTGATTTAATGAGCCATCCTTCTGAGTCTCTTTAGCAACATTCTTAGCATTCACAGATATGGCATCAATCAACTCTCCTAACATGCGATTTACCTAATTTTCAAACACTAAGCCTCATCAAAAATGCAATCAAGTCTGTGTGATAATCTGGAAAGTCTGTCTGCTTGACCGATGATAGCCTGAGGCGATACCCAGTTTCAATGGTAAAATTCATTAAACATAGAGTCCACTATTGTAAGTGGTTCAGGGCAAGTAAAGGAATGCCTCTGATTTGAAGATAATGACTAACGGCTGATGATCCAATAATAAATTACTAACCGCAAAAAATTTGATGAGGTTTTTTTACTACGAAAATAATAATTTTCTACAAAAAATAGGCTGAGTAAGGGATTTGGATACATGAGCAATTGACTTTGCCGAGCCATCTGCAAAGCGAAGAAGTAAAGGTGCGTCAGTTCCATAACACAAGTAGGTTTTGCTAAAGTTTAAAATGCGTTAAGGACAAGGGAAAGGGTAAGATTTCTTTGATTTTATTGAAAGACCCTTGACATTTTGTTGATCACTGAAACTCAGTACTTTTGCGCAGTAGTACTTCTAAAGAGGCTTTTAGATTGCAGAACTGCAAAAAAAAACTTTGCATAGTAGTTTACAAAAACTCACTAAGAGCTCAGTGCTGTTAGTTCTGTACGTATTGGAACACGCTTTTTTCTTGTAATTTTATCTAGGTCTAGACTTATTCCTTCTGAACTTAGAATAAAGCCCAAATATTTAATTGACTTAGACCAAAAATTTGCATTTCTCCTTCCGCATGCGATATCCGAACAGCTGTAACCGTTGTAATGCAGAACGTAAAAGCTATGTGTGTTCTGCACGTGTCTTGACTGAAACTAGAATATCATAAAAATATGCCGCAATATTAAAAAACTTCCAAGTGAGTACTAATCACAAGCAATTTCTTAAGTGACTCGTCAACTTCTCTATGTAAACATGCAGCGGATAGATTCAGATGAGAAGAGAAAGTTTCACTAGTGCACGTTGTAAAGATATCATAGGGAGTTGGTAGTGGGAACTGGTGAATGTCTATTGCTGCATTCAGTTTCGTAGAAAAGTCGGCACAAACCCTAATTTTAGCAGTTCTTTT